TCGTCTCGGCTGTGGCGCTGTCAGTCGGCTTCACCGTTCAGTCGTCCGTCCGACTAGATCTCGCAAGTATCTTCATCGGGTGAATTGTTGTTTAGTACGTTATGCACAGTGGAGGGTCCTGTTATTGTCGTCGATATATGCTCAAACACTTGTGAAGGCAACCGTGCTTTCTACGCACGCCGTCTTCCCGATGTATGTTGATGATGCTATCCCTCAACTCATCGGGGAGGCATCGCGCGTAGAAGTTTTCAGCTGTTGAAGTAATAAAGTCCTTCATGTATGGCATATTTGTCGTAGCGTGCATGTCTCGTATTCTAGTGTAGCGATCGCACCCCAGAACTAGCCTCAGACATCTGTTTTGAGCGTTTTGTAGCTTATTATGATGTATTTGTGCCATGGAGCAGAAAACTGGACAGCCATAAGTCAGTATCGGTCTAAAGACTGATTTGTATAATAAGATCTTGTTAGACAGTGTAACTCCGCTGCGTCTATTCATGAGGGGGTAAAGAGTCCTCAGAATACCGCAGTTTTTCGTCACCCTGTCCACAATATGTTGGCGAAACGTTAATCCCCTATCCAGATAGAATCCTAAGTATTTTATATGAGGCTTGGCAATGATTGGTTCATTTTGCACTCGAAGGGGCGTGTCTATGCCTTCGGTCCGCCTCTTTGTAATGAGGATACTTTCGGTTTTCAACGGATTTATTTTCATTTTATTGCTATCTAGATAGGTGATTAACGGTCCATTTATATGACTGTCCAGCTTCCTGGTGGCTGTTTGTGCTGATGAATGGCTGGAAAATAAACAGATGTCGTCGGCATACAACGCCGTTTGTACACCATTATCACCCATGGGTATGTCACAGGTCATAATTGTGTACAAATGCGGCGAAAGTACTGAGCCTTGGGGCACTCCCGCCTGCGCTAGGAATGGTCCTGTTATTGTGGAGTTTATCTTAATGCAAAATTGTCTGTCCGTTAAGTATGAGTGTATTATTTTTACAATATGTACGGGAAAATCATTCACAAGCATTTTGTGTATTAGCCCACGAGTCCACACGGTGTCAAAGGCCTTCTGACAGTCCAAGGTTACTAGAACCGTTTGAAGGTCGTTGTTGAACCCTTCTTTCGCATGATGTGCTATACGTAATATCTGTGAAATAGTGCTGTGCCCCTCTCTGAAACCGTGCTGTTCCCGTGGGATAATTTGTAAACGTTGTTCTGTCTGCTTAAGTCGAATCAAAATTACAGTGTCCGTTATTTTAGCGATTGTATTCAGTAAGGAAATGGGGCGGTAACTATCGATCATATTGGCCGGTTTGCCTGCTTTGAGAATTGGTAAGATATTTGCCATTTTCAGGCCACAGGGATAGTAACCTGAAAATGGCATTTATTAAATGGTGGAGCTGCACGACAGCTTTTCTACTTAAATTCTTAAGTAAAATGTTACTGATGTTGTCCGGTCCCGGGGCTTTTCTATTTTTGAGACTCTTAATTACTTCACACACCTCTTTTGGGGAGGTAAAAAAGGAATGTGGCACTACTTGTGGTTCCGACTGCTGCAGCGCATTTACTGCAAGTTCAATGCGCTGTTGTTCAGGAGTGTTTACGTTATCGTTGATGAAGTTAGACTGAAAGTATTCGCCGAAGGCTTGGCCTTTGTCCTTGTCGGTGTTAAGTATGTTCGGTCCTTGTTTCATTGTGGGAAGCAGTGGGTTCGGTTTTTTAAACCTTTTCACCACTTTCCACAATGAATTGTCTTGTGGTTTGAGCTCAGATAGGGTGGTTTTCCATTTTTTGTTTCTGTAATCTTTAATCATAGTATTGATTGTCTTGGCTATGCTATAGAGTAGTACCCTATCTTCGCTCTGTCGGTGTTGTTGCCATCTCTTTCTGATTGTGTTTTTACTATTAATCATGTCTGTTATTTCTATAGGCAATATGTCGTTGTGTTGTTTTTGTGTTTTAAGTGTAGTTGTAGCGTCTCTAGCTTTTTGTATGGCGTTAATAAAATTGTTTGTCTCAATTTCAATTAATTCTTTGGTGTTTATATTATTATTTATTTTTATTGTTTTGTCAATTTCTGTTCTATAGTCTGCCCAATTTGTTGTTTTATAGTCGTAGTATTGCCTATATTGTCGGGGGATTTTTTGTGTTGTCCAGATCTCTAAGTACACTGGATCGTGGTCTGAGCTAAGGGTGCTAATGGTTTTCATATTGCGAATGTCAGGGATGTTTTTCGATAGAGCTATATCCAGTGTACTTGGGGTATGTGTCGCGCATGAAGGGAAAAATGTCGGTTCGTCTGTATAATGTATTATATGACCGTTGACTTCGGCGAAAAAAGTAACATATGGAAAGAATTAAATAATCTGAACATAACAAAAAATAAAAAATCTACTATTCCCAATGAACTAAAAAATCCTGAAATAATAAATAATTATTTTATTCACGGTATTGGTGGCCTAGATAACCCAGACATACACATTTTAAATCATTATGAGTCTCATGTCCAAGAGAATCTGCAAGATTTTAAGTTTACCGAAGTTAATGAATTAAAAGTATATGAAAAATTACTCTCCATTAAATCCCATGCTACTGGTCCGGATGAAATAAATATTGTAATGCTGTTACATACTTGCCCTACAATTCTACCCTACGTGACACATATAGTCAATCATTGTATCAATAATTCCACCTTCCCATCCTTATGGAAACAATCAAAAGTATTGCCGCTTCCCAAAAAACAGAACCCAACTGAATATTCTGATCTGAGGCCAATTAGTATACTTTGTACTCTGTCAAAGGCTTTTGAGAAAATTTTAGACGAACAAATTCGCTTTCATATTTCACAATTTGATCTTCTACCTAAACATCAATCGGGCTTCCGTCCAAAATACAGTTGCACTACAGCGTTACTTAAAGTATTAGACGATATTTACTCGTATATAGATGCTAAAAAATTATGTATACTAATTCTCTTAGATTACTCAAAAGCTTTTGACAAAATAAATCACTCTTTACTGTTAGCTTTATGTCATTTTATGGGATTTAACACAGCCTCAGTAAATTTATTGAGCTCTTACCTAAATGGAAGATATCAAAGAGTTCAAATAGAAGAAAAAACATCCAATTTAATACATATTACACGTGGAGTACCGCAGGGATCTATTTTAGGTCCTCTCTTATTTTCAATTTATACCTCTCAATTTTTTAAATATCTGAAACACATGAATTCTCATTTCTACGCTGATGACACTCAACTCTACCTTGACTTTAAAGAATCCGAATCGAATGGCGCTATCACAAAAATCAACGAAGATCTGCAAACTATCTCGGAGATATCTAACAAATTTTGCTTAACAATTAACGCTACAAAATCCAAAGCTATGCTTTTCGGCCGTAAACAAGTTAAAAATAGAATTAAAAATATTCTAAAGGTAAGTATTAACAATGAATTTTTAACATTCTCAGTTTGTGAGAAAAATCTGGGCATATACATTGATGAAGATTTATCCTTTGCGCAACATATCTCTTCTATAATAAAAAAATCTTTCTGTAATCTAAAGTTAATTTATTCTAATCGGGAATTTCTCAACAGAAATACCAAAAAGTTGCTTTGCGAAAGCTTAGTGCTGTCTCAGTTTAATTACGGTGACATTGTATATGGGCCTGCACTTACACAATTTCATAAAAACCGTTTACAACGAACTCAAAATGCGTGTGTTAGATTTATTTGCGGGGTTCGTCGTCGTACCCGTACATCTCAACATCTGGCTAGTTTGGGATGGCTTAATCTAAATAATAGGAGATTGTTACATGCCTATGTCCTGATCCATAAATTATTGTTATCAAAAAAACCTGATTATTTGTATGAAAAAATAAAAAGGAGATCTGAAGTCCATAATGTTAATGTAAGATTTAAAAATTTCCTAACACTTCCGAAACACACTACAACCTTATTCCGATCTTGCTTTTAGCCAAATTATTTAACCTTGCCCCTAAAATATTTAATATCACATCACTCTCAAGTTTTAGAAAAGTAGTCAAAAACCTTTTATTTAACGGAGATATCACTTACAATTTTTAATTTATATTGTTAATTAAATTTAGTTTAACAATAATATTTCATGTTATTTCTATTTTTTACTCGTCACTATTGATTAATAATAATAACTACAATAACAACACAGATCTAGGATTTATAAAATTTGACCTTTGTTTTTATTATTTCTAAGTTTCCATATTAATTGTTTGTTTGCTTTCTTATTGAAAGCTAGAATTTCACTTTTTTTCATAGAAAATCTGTATTCATTACTTAATTATTTATATTTTTCTGGGTTGCGTGGAAGAGCGCTGCTTATTTGCTGGCTCAATCTTTGAGCTCGCCAGTAAGTGCGAACGTCGCCTTTTGTCTTTCAGCATTTTTTTATGTATATTTATATAATTTTGTATAATAATTTGTATGTATTGAAAGCAATAAAGTCATTATTATTATTATTATTATTATCTCTCAGTAGCAGTCCACTGGGGTTAGGGGCTACACAATTAGCGTCCCATTCCGGATGTTTAGCATTAAGGTCCCCTGCAAGCAAAACCCTGTTTCCTTTCGACATCAGTGTGTGCAGATCTCTACCTAACAAATTTTGACTAGGGGTGTGATATGCACCTATAATGACTATGTTATTCACTTCAATTATGATGTTCTCTAGTTTGGGTGAGACGTGTGCCCTTCTCAATTGTTTAAAAATGATGTCTTTCTTTATTAGGATAGCTACCCCTCCCATACCTTGTCTTTGTTGTAAGGTATGTCTGTCTTGTCTAATTACTATAAAATCTCGTATTTTTACTTTGTTCGTAGGTTTTAGGAACGTCTCTGTCAAAATTATGATGTCGAATTTATGCTTGTGAATGAAATTGCTTACAAGACCGATCTTGTTTAGCAGCCCGCGCACATTATAAAAACAAATTCTCAGTTTGTCTCTATTTACATTGTTGAATTAGTTCCTAATGTTGAATTTATCTAAATTTGTCATGAAGTTATTAAAAGTCATTAAGTATTGGGCTGGGTCGTTATTACACTTACGGAGTTGGGCATTTAGCTCTCTGACAGCACGAGTGAGTTCTGCTATGTTTACCATACTATTTAGTTCCTTTAATTCCTGGTTTAGGGTGAATATATCGTCCATTGTGCCCTCTGATTGGTTAGGGGTTTGTGACTGTCTTCTGGTTTGCTGTGGTTGGGTTTTTTGTGTGCTTTGCCTACTTGTGGTGGGTAAAGCAGGGAAATCTTCTTTTTTCGGGTTAGTATTTGCCTTATTCCAGACATTGGATGTAGGAAGGGGTGCAGGGATGTATTTACGGGTAGGGGCTTGGGTGAGCCTCCTCTCTTCTAGTCTGCTAGCTCGTTCCGTGTACGCTTTACACTGTGTGAAGTTGGCAGGGTGGTCCCCCAGACAATTCGCACATGTCGCTGGGGTTTCCCTCGTCTTTATACATGTGCGGGTGAGGTGGTCTCCGGCGCACTTGAGGCATTTCGGCGGCCTACCACAGTTCGAGGTGGCATGCCCCCATGCCTGGCATCTATGGCATTGAATGATGCTTCTTTGAGATTTTCGTAGTTCCCAAATTATACGAGTGTTCTCGACTACCCTTACGTTTTTGTTGAGGTAGTCGAGTGTTATGGCCGGGTCAGTCACTACTAAAAATAGTGGTCGGTACTTGGTCGTCATTTTAAATATTTCTTTTGGTTTGATTTCATAAGAAGCTATGAGATCTTCTTCTATAGCCTCTATTTCTGTCCCGTCGGCCAGGCCTCTCAGGACGAAGGCATGGGTTTTGTCTGTCTTATTGGTGTAGGTGTGGTGGGAGATTTGTGCCTGCTTGATGCTGCCTAATAGTGCCTCGTAATCCTCCAGGGTTTCTGTGAATATTACAGTCGTGGCATTAGTATATTTTACTGTATATTTCCCTTGTATTATGGCCTTTAAATCTTTTGTAAGGGTTGCGTGGTTTTCTGTGCGTCCGTGCCCGATTTGCCTTTGATCGGGAGATTGGGGGTAGCTTTGCCTTTGATTAGGGGTGTATTAACCTGCTCTTCTTCACTTTCACTTAGTGAATCGTACTTATTGCTGGTTTGAATTGAGGCTGCCGCTTTTTGTTCAAGTAATTTGACAAAGTTTGTCTTGAACTTCTTGTATTTTTTTGGCTTTTCAAAACCGTCTGTGTCTACTGGATCGGTTTCGTCTCCCCCTTCTGTGTCGTTTTTTTCTTGGGCTGGTGAAGTTTGTTTTCTTTTTGTAAGAAGAGGTTTAGCAGTAGGGGGTGTTACTACTTTTTTTATAGCGGTAAAAAGCACTTGTTTTGGCTGTTTCGCTCTCTCATCTTCACTTGAGGTAGGGGGTTGAGATTCTCCGCCGAAATTTAGCACTTTAGCCGTGACTTTGCTCGGTAATGCAAGGGTTTCGTATTGTGACACGAACTTATCAACGGGTTTGACCGGAGCCGGCACTTCACTTTGTTTTAGCGGATTTTCCGACATGTTTTTTAGCACGTTGTCGATATTTTTTAGGGTTAGGTCGGCACTTTGAAGGGTTGGGTCCGTGATGGCGTCCGTTTTCGCGCTGTTCACTGTCGTGTCCGAAATTCCCGTGTTAATTGTCGCGAGACCATAGGCACTGTCAAACGTGTTAATGACACTGGCGTTAAGCGGCGAGTTTTCCGCACTTTGATACCGGGCGGTAGGATCACTGTCCGGGGAGTAACCTGGTGTCAATCCAGATGAATATGATGGGTCCTGTGCGGCTTCTTGAGGTGGGGTGTAAAAATCATTGCTTTCGTCCATTTTTTCGGCGAAAAGTTCTACTGTGTTTTTAGGGGTTATTTTGTTGTCATCTGTTGAGGGAGGGTGCAAATCGGCCCTATTGCGTTCCACATCCCCTCTATCTCTACTGTAGCTATGACTTTTCGACGATTTTTGTGTTTTCTCGTGGGATTTTTGAGATCTCTCTCGAGAATCGTGTCTGTCTTTACTTGACGATTTATAATGCTCTTTCGGCTTTGGGGTACTCACATGTTTGTATGGGTGATGTATACCTCTTTTTATTTTTAGGGTGATAGGGCTTCTAGGGCTGGTTGAGGATCCTGAGGGCCTGCGAGCATTGGTGTCGAGGGACAAGTTTTTCCTCTCTTTATTTATCTTGTCTCTGGCTCTTTTCGTAAATAATGTTTCGTGTTCTGTTTGTGGCACATCTGTGTACTCCCTGGAGTCTGTGGGGTGGTTTGATGCCCCTTCGGGCCCTTCCATGTGGGTGAACTGCTCTCTGAGAGCTGCTTTTACTTAACCTGGCTTGACACGTGTGTTAATCTAAAAATAAACAATTAAGTGAGGTTAAAAACCCTGGCGGCACTACTTCGAACTAGTTTCGACTCAAAACAACGCAACCTTCCCCAGATAAAGTACAGGGGAAAGGCTGAAGGTAATGAGTAGTGTGGCTTGGCAAGCACAATAAAATAATATCATTTCTTTCCGCAAGTTGTAATACTTCGGCACTGCAGTGGGATGTATGACCATCGACGATCAAAAGTACCTTTCCTACCCCTTTTCTTGGAAGAAAATGATCTTTCAACCATAATAGAAAAATATCTGAGTTTACATACGCCGACTTCTGGTTCATGTAAATTACTGATCCGTTTGGCATGCCATCTTGGAATTCATCCTTTTTATACTTGCCTTTAAAAACACAAGCGGGGGGTAGAAAAATGCCTTCTGCATTGCAACATGCGATAACCGTTATGGTTTCCCCCTTTTCTCCAGATGTAATTGTGGATACATCTTTTGACCCTTTTTGGGCTATAACGTAACCCACTTTATTATTGAGCTGTAGCCCAGTTTCGTCCATATTATAGATAGATCCCGGTGACTCGAATAAGTTGTTTTCTTCTAGAATTACATGTAATAGCTGAAAATAAGCCAATACCTTTTTACGGGACATACCTTCAGCTCGGGCTATGGAAACTCCTTCAGCCTTTCTCACAGACAAATCTGGGTGACGTAACAGAAACAAATTTAACCAATCGTAACCAGCTTTTTCTTTCTCATGGTTAAACCTATGATTCAATTTAAGTTTAACTGCAAATTCATATGCCATGGTCCTCAAATCATCTCGAGTGGGAGCAAATCCTCTGTTTTGTAGCTTTTTGATGTGAGCTACTAACTTCGACTCATTAGCCATTCCTAAAGTTCCTGTTGGCCTCATAGGTTTTTTTGATGAGTCATTATACTGCACCCGACGCCGTAATGTCCTTGATGGTATATTAAAAGTTTTGGAAGCCAAGTTTATTCCCATGCCATTTCTAACTACGGTTATCGCACGCTGAAGAGCATCTTCCGACCAAGAACCTCTTGTGGAACCTGGTTTTCTAATATATTTCGTAGGCATCTGAAAACATATAATAATAAATATTTATAACATAGAGAATGACCATGTTTTGAATTTTATTTCAATGTTTATTATTAAATATAGTGAGGCATCTCACCCGACTAACAGTGTGCCATCTATCCCAAATACCGGGTTAGTACAACTTACTTGTCAGTACTGACAAGTAAGTTGTAATGTTTTTTTATTTCTTGTTCAATGTTTAGGAATATCTCGATTTGACTATTGTTATAGCTCCGTTTTTTTTATCTTTGTAGAGTCTCTGATGATGGCCTAATCGGCTGAAAGCGCTAAGACTACTTTTACTGAGTTTTATTAATATTAATAAAACTACCTACACACTTTAAATACGTCACATTCATTTCTTATTACCCAGTGTGTACACACCACTCAACCTCTTCAAACATTTATATATTTATCTAAACAATTTCAAACCTGTTTAGAATATTTTAAACTTGATAACTCACCTTTATGATACACTATTGACACAGTACTCTTTTACTTATTGAGATGTGTTATTAAATGACGAACTGGCGTATCGGCAGCTCCATCTGTTATCGCCTAGCCGAATAGCGGCACTTTGCCATCTATCCCGGTGATACTTTGTCACTGAATGTATACTATTATTATAACAAAATACAGAATTTTTAATTAATCGATCTAGTGTGAAATGTTTATTTTCTGCTAATATTTCTGATATATCTATTTGATCTAGGTTAAAATAAACTCAATTTAATTCTTGCAGAACTATTTCATTTAATTTTATTTTATTTGCACTAAAAAGTAAAATATATTTGATTTTTGAAAAATTAAAAGATCAGTATATTTTGAAATTTATTAAAGCATTTTATAAATTTTCCATTATGTTCTATTTTTATTCTTTTTCTTGAAAGAAGTAGTTATTTTTTTCAAAAATGTTTACTTAATACATTTTTTAGTAATATTCCTATACGTCCAAAGAATAACTTGATATATATTTTTATTTAATAAAATTAAATTTTAAAGTATATAGGTATGTTTTAAATAAAACTAGGTTTATCTCTAAATCTATCATAGTTATAAGTTATATTTACACCCCCACTACTATTTAAATATTTAATCAGCTCTAATGGTGGTTGTAAGTTTCCATAACTATCAAAATATACGACATTTTTATTTTTTTTGTAAATGCAGTCCGGTGTGTTCCTGGTCCTTTACTTGAATCCATATTTATAATACCACTTTCATATTTATGAACTTTAGGTGGTAAGGAATCTCTCATAAAAACCCCTCTAAAGTGTGGTATTTTCAGTATTTTTACAAATTTTTTTATATCTATGTCTGTAAGCGCTCGCTGTGGTAGTATTAGTTTTTTGACTTTTTTTTTATTTCTTTTTTAATCGCAATCCTTTTCCTTTATATGGTCTTAAATATAAACCTTTTCCTTTAGTTTCCATTTGTAAATTGTGACGTTTTTGTTCTTCAAGTTGTTGACGATTTGTTTTGGCATCATTTACAGCCTTGGCAATTCCAGCACCCATTCCACCCAACCCTGCCAACGCAGATATAATAGGGATTAGTAAGGGTAAAAATCCACCTTTTTTTGGTACTCGAATAATCCTTTTTTTAGTTTTACGTTTTTTTAAACCCATCCCAAGTTTACGTTTGCCTTTCATCGCTGTTTTTATAAACCAAGCAGCTTCTTTTTCACCCAATTTAGCGTCTTTAGATTTAACCCTTTCCCAAGCTTTATTTGCTAATATTTTATCAGCTTGATGTCTATATTTGAGATCTGAACTTTACGAATATGCAATATCATGTTCTTTGCAGGCGGCGTCTAATTGGTTTATGCCTTTATCACCTCTCTGTAATCTCTTATCAACTTGAGTGCCTGGACCACAGTAGGAAAAGCCCGGAATATGTAATTCAATTGGTAGTTTGTTTATAAAAGAATTTACTAAACCTTTCCCTCTTTGATGTAAACTGTTTCGCTGATGTCTAACCATTATGCTTTTTATATACTACCACCCACACTATATATACTCTCAGTCATCAACAGAATTCATTAAAATGAAGGTTGAAAAACAACACATGACTTTACCAGTCAAAAATCACGATTTAATTGTTAATGATGAAAAACTTAATAAGCATGGTTATTTGTTTAGTGGTGATTCTAAGAGATGTTTAATTGTTGGACCTAGTGGATCTGGAAAGACAAACTGTATGCTTTCATTAATTGAACACCCTAACGGATTAAGATTTGAAAATATATATGTGTATTCCAAAAGTCTTCATCAACCCAAATACAAATATCTCAAAAATCTCATTCAACCCATTAAAGAAATTGATTATGAAGAATATTGTGAATCTAAAGTTATAATTCAGCCAGAAGATATTAAAGATAATTCTTTAATTATATTTGATGATGTAGCCCCCAGCGATCAAAAAATTATTCAAAGTTATTTTTGTTATGGTCGACATAAACACACCGATTGTATTTATATTTGTCAGACATACAGTTCAGCTAAGAAGCAGTATATAAGAGATAATCTGAATCTTCTAATTATTTTCCCACAAGATATGACTAATTTGAAACACATTTACGATGATCATGTTAATATCGATATGTCTTTTAAAGAGTTTATAGATATATGTTCATTTTGCTGGCAAAAAAAATATGATTTTCTAACTATTGATAAGGATTCACATTGCAAATGTAGGAAAAATTTTGATAGTTTTATACGTTTATAAAGAGATTTAGTATTCGAACATTTTACTTGAAATGGATGCACGCGTAGCGAAACAACTAATAAAAGCTAAAGAAAAAAATATAAAAGTTTAAAAAGTGATATAAATAAATCACAAACTCATTTAGAAAAAACATATCAACCAATAACAGACCCCCTTAAACAACTGGTTTCAGTTTTGGGGAAACAAGAAATAATTAAACAAGAAAATTTAACACCGAAATCAGAAAAGTTCAGTTTTTTGCGTAAACCTCTGCGAAAAGATTATAATAAAATAGCATATTCTTCTTTTCCATCACCGGTAAGTCAAACAATTAAACATGTTCCAGAACATGAAAGTACTCGTTTAAATGAATCAGAGATTTATGAAAATCAACCAGATCAAACGTATGAATATCAACCTAGGACCAGTGATGAGCAAGTTGATGAATATATAGATGATGCAATTAAAAGTCTACAAAATTTAACTACAAATCCACCTCCTGCATTCGTTGAATATATGGATCAATTTACAGCACCATTACCTAGAGATTATATTCTTAGAAATATTTCAGATATCGAAAATAAATTTGATCATGTTTTGGGGATTTACCATGATATGGAAACCGAAAAGTTTCGCATTGGAGACTCTGAATTAAACTTTGATGGTTCTGATATTGTAATAAAAGGTATTAAATATCCCGGAACGCCTGGACTTTATGAATTACTTTTTTTAAAAGAACCGATTGCATATAAACAAACTGATGTTAATGAATATGTGGATATAATAAAAAGAACCAATGCCGCTAAAAGAAATAATGATCCGGATTTACCAATTAAAAATTTTTCTAGGGATATTAAGGATAAATATAATTTTATTATTAAACCAAAGTTAGAAACAGGACCATTTAGACGGAGAGTTTCATCAATACCATCTTCATTAAGGAGTGGAATAATGACAAGGAGTAAAAAAATTGGAAAAGGAATGTTACAATATTCAAATAAACCTATTGATTATAAATATTTTGGTAATTACAATGAGTTAATTGACCGACTTAGATTACTTGTAGTATCTCAAACAGCTGGAAATACAGGTAATAATAACGAGATTGTGTCAATCATTGAGGAATTGAGAGAAGGGGGTATAATAATGTGAACCCAAT